TATATTTTAATTTGAAAAACCCCTGGTCCGTCCTTTGCGCGCAGTCTGGTTTAAGTTGATCCATTACGCATACAGACACTAACAAAGACTGGGGACAGTTCATACCCGCTTGGTCTCCTGCTGCCCGCCGCCTCGGCCGAGGCTGTCCTGTTGCTGTTGTGGAGACATGTTGTCCATCCAGCCTCCAGACGCCCGACGGCTCACTGCCCGACTGTCCTCAGGTGATGCGGCGGAGAGAGAAATCCCATTAATAACCTCCGTCTCCGGAGGACAGAAACCATCTCAACACAAGCTCGATAGAAGTCGCCGAAAAAAACTTCTGAGTGTGCAAGCAGGGAGCCGGAAACCTGCGAGGAGCGGAAGAAAAAGTTAAAAAGAGAACGAGCTCAGCTGATCCACAGATCTCCTCCACTATCAATGAAAGACTGTGCTGTAACCAAAAGCAGCTCCTGTCTGGATTATCAGCTGCTGTGCCACTTCTTAATGCGCCTTTACGCACCGAACGGAGGCGGCGCCGATACGCGGCGAAAAATAGGTCCACCTATTTTTAACCACATCGCTCCATTGATCCAGCAGACAATCAGATCCACACTAAAAAACCAACAATGACACCAAAGTGCAGGAGGGATATTTCACCCCGCTGTCTGAAGCTGATCAGACTGCATCTGCTGTCCATTAGCAGCATTTCTGTTGTACAAACATTTCTCAGAAGCTTGTTACACTCCGTGATTTAATTGGCTCATTATCTGATGTGAAGGTGAATAGAATAAATAAAAACTTGCAGAACATTCATGTATTTCCGTAAACAATTAAACGTATTACATCTTTTTACACATTTATATAGTCTAAAATAATGCAAAAAACAACACATTTCTTTGCCACTGTTAAAATGAAACAACAAAACAGGTGTAATCTGACATCACCTCACCATTTAACATAACCACAGGCAGAACCAGAAGGCCACACGCTGATGTTTTATAACTTGTTTTATAAGTTTTGTATAAAAAATATGAACCACCGCACACTGGAATGACTTTACTGTGACCCGACTGCTGTTGGCAGTGCATGGGGAGTTTTTGTTTACAACTTATAAAACATGTGTTGTTATAAGTTAAAACTACCCAACAGTATATAGAAGTACAGAAATGGTTAGTCGATTAATCAATTAGTCGAATGGCTTCACATAATGAGGATTTGTTGCTTTTACCTTTGTTTAAGTTAAAAGCAACTAACTATTTTAATGTATTTGTAATAATTTGGATATGTTTTTGATTTAGTTGAACTATAAAACCCTTAGAAATGTGTCACTTTGGGCTCTACAATATTGTGACGGCATTTCTCACTATTTTTAGAATTTTTAAAAACTAAATAAATTGATTGGTTGAGAAAATAATCAGATCAGAGCAGATTAATCCATGAAAACAATTATTAGTTGCAGCCTGATACATAAAATGAGCTCCACCTCAACCAACTACATCAGTAAGATCTTGCTTTTTACATTAGTGATAATCTAATGATATAACACTCTTAAGGATTACTACTACAGTACCTTTCTACATATTGGGCATCAATAAGGTCAGAAAAAACAGCTTGGTTTTGCCTTTATTATTATTATTATTATTTACATACAGCACTGGAGTCTCTGGAATACTGATGGAGGACAGTAGAGCCGATATCATCAGCACAGATGAACAAACTCAAAGGAATCCTGGGAACTTTTTCTACACTAGAAGAAGTTATTTAGATCCAATAGACAAACGTTATCAGATTATGGGTCTGATGCTCACTGTCAGTACAGTAGCTCCAGGCTCCACATCAGTCTGAACACACATTATTAGATTCCAGTGTCTCTGGGAAACAGTCGTAAATAGTACTGACTGCAATCTAGGCCATAAGGTTGTAATGTAGGACGCAGTCAAACCTTAAAGTGAAGCCATCCTCCTTCAATAAACTCCACAAAGAGACGTCGTCTTTGATTTGTGAAGCAGATGTAATAGGACGTTTACAACGAATATTAAGATTCATTTAGGTCTACATGCGTAATGGATACAAGCAAACACCTGACTTTACGCAGGGAGGGAATCAAAATTTTTAAAAGGGAGTTTGTGAACTTGGCACAAAGCAACTATTGCCCCAAAATCAATTGTTCTTGTAGAAACAGAAGTGGGCCACAAACTGGGCTAAAGAAGAACCAGGCCAGAAAGTGAAGACTGCGGAGACCCAGAGTATTCATTCCCCAAATTGGCCACAATCAGCCCCGTTAAAACTGGATCACTTCAATGATTACCATCCCTCGTGTTGATAATGAACAGCCTTGGGCATGGCAGAGAAAAGCAGCGCACCCCCCTCCTCGCTGGCTGCCAACCCTCCTGCTACAAACACACTTCTTCCACCCTGAAAACATCAGTTTGCTTTGACTGTCACAGAGGTTGTCCGAATGTTGGAGGCAAAAGTAATCCTTCATATGTTACTGCGACCGGTCACTTATATTCAGTCATTACGCCGAGAGCCCAGTGAGAGAGATGAAATGCTTATTGATTAAACTAAACAAGCATAAGAGGGATGGTTAGTGTTCTCTGCGGGGGATCAATAACCATCACCAACATCGACTGTCGCCCCAAATACTTTGTATTTTATACCTTATGTCTGCTAACAAACAGAAAAACAATAAAACTTCTTCAGTGTCACTTCTAATGGACCCAAAAGTCTGAAAAAACAATGATCCTGCCACAATACAACAATTTCCTCTGCACATCAATTATACGCGTGACCCAAATAGCAAATTAAATGTCTCAAGTTCTAATTTAGTGGACTGTAACAGCATCTAATCTCATTTATAATATTAGTTTTAATAGGACAGGCAAAAGTTATCTGTAAGCATGACTTAACACAAACTAATGTTAACAATCTAACTCAGATTCAGGGGTTACATAACCTCTCTTGCATATAAATATTTTAATCAACAGTATAAAACAACATCGCTGACAATCAATAACTTTACGAGAACAAAAGGTCAAAATCAGAGGCATCGACAGCACTGTGGTTTTATAAATCATCTTTATTTACTGTAAATACAACAGGACTTCTGATAACCTACCTGTGAAATCAAACAACTAAAAATCATTTCTGTGGCTGACTGTTCTTTAAACGTTATCAATCTAAATTATGGACCCTTTTCATTAGTAACGATGTACCTTTGAAAATTGAGATTAACATCAATAGTAAAGTGAATGTCTGTCAATTAAAGGACCAGTGTGTACAATTTAGTGGCATCGAGACGTGTATTTGACAGCCTGGAGTGAGAACGACCTGTGAGGTCAACTCACAAAAGTTCCTGTCTACACTCAGTGTTTGGTTTGTTCGTTCTGGGCTACTGTAGAAATATGGCGGTTCAACACAGCGGAATCTAGAGAATGGCGACCCGCTTCCTCTGTAGATAAAAACGTCTCATTCTAATGTAACAAAAACATAACAGTTTTATATTACATTATGCCTAGAGATACACACTGGACCTTTAAATATGAAACAGCTTCTATTCATGAGGTATCACAGTGAGCAAATCTCCATTTTGTGGTGATTTATATCAGAAATGTAAGAATATAATACAGAGAAATAGGGATTGTTGTTGATTTACTAACTCCGACTCTATTCTCTACTGAAATTATGTTCAAGTGAAGTCAGAACATACAGAGCATAGCATTTAAAATACATTACAGTGGACGTGGAGGTGTAGACTACTGGAATACAACACGATCAATAATGTGTACAAACTGTGTGTGTGTGCGCGCTGGGATTTACCTATTCTATTTATTCCTTCACTGGACGCAGTACACCAACGGGGCCTGTAAGATATGAGAAACAATAATATTTAAAACAAATATTCTGTAACACTGAGCATACATTAGCACACATTTTATAAAATATGTATTGATGAACTGACAGTGTAAGAAATAACTTTCAGTCACTTCAGGCAAATCATCTGTCCGGCCTCATTTACTTATCATAAGTATTCACTTATCATTTGAACTTATCATAACTTATATTACTTTCCACATCAAAGTAAGGTTTTAGAACAACTTATAAGAGGTTTTCTGTCATAGTAAGTCATACTTAAGCTCAAAATTACACCAATCAAACATTGAGACGATGACAAAATCTTTGCAGCTGATACCAAACATCGATTTTTAGAGACCAGTGGAGCAATTACTGATGAAAAACGAGCTATTATCCTGTCAATATGATAAAAGTAGGTCTCTAAATCAAATTAGAGTGACCATTAATGAATGCTCGGCCTGATGTAAGCACAGATATGATTTTCAAATACAGTGAAGCTGGTAAAGTTCTCAAAAGCTGCTCTACTTTAAACAACCCACAGGTTTAAAATGGATTAAGATTTGGTAAGTATCATTTCTTATACGACTATGTGTAATTAAATCTTCTCAAACACTTCACATATTCTCATAAATCCCATCTCATGTGTCACTACAATGTACCCTCAGTGCGTGAACTGGACAAAAACAAGGTTCCTGGTTCTTTGACTGTTGTCCTCGCCCAAATCCCTAAAATATATCAAATAAAAGTACATTCACTGAAATCCATAAACTGCCTTTACAGCCCAAATAACTCGAGAGCCTTTAAGTTATGTGACCCAGCATCAGTAGGAGTATAGGTCTGAAACTGACTCACTATTTACTGTACAGAAATCCCTCATAAACAAATATGATTACCTATACATGTCACATATTGACGATTTCTCTCATCGTTTAATTAGACATCATAATAAAGTCAGAGCCCTGCTGAACTCCTTCACAAAGTCACATTCACAGTAATTGTGGTAAACTGTTATGTTGATGCAGAAGCACTAATACGCTTTATACACATAGAAAGGCAGATTATGCAAAAATATAGTTCAAGAGAAATATGCAGAAGTACTTTGTGTATTTTACAACACAAAAGATACAAGAGAGGAGAAAATAAAATGTATTTACCTGTTATAAAACTATTCTTTAGAGTCCATGACACCTGGTCAGGATATATCACATGTCCAAGATCCAGTGAAACAAAGAGCATACAGAGAGCCAGAGTTTGTTTTTAACTGATGCTACATGCACAGATAACACTCACCAGAGAACATTGTGAAGTAGTTTTAAAAAATGGATCGCACAAGGCCTAAGCAGCGGAGGAATGCCAAACTTCCTTTAGTACCGAGTAATAAAAAAAGTGAAATATTGACCATATGAACGGTTGACCTGTAAGTCATATGACTGGTATGTACAATGTTTGTCAAGGGCATCATTTTCCAGATGGGTCAAACATGCACACACACACACACCTGATTGACAACTCT